TTCACTTCAAGAAGTTCTCTCTTCTCACCCCAAAGCTCTCTGGAGCCTCTGCTCGAATGTCTTAGCATCTCCTCTATCAAGTCTTTGGGATCCCTTGCTTAATGCATTATATGTTAAGGAAATGGAAGTAAAATTTCACTCTCATGCATAAAAATATAATAAAATTTACACATGTCACTCCCTCATTGCTTTCCGGATGAGTTGGTGCATTATTCGATATGTTTTTGAACCTCCTAAATCCAAAATAACCAATGGTAAGTGGACCTGATCGTGTTAGTCAACCCAACACAACCGGAGGCCCCATTGTGAGCAATCCGCGAATTGCGTCGTCCAAGAGGACCTTGGTAGCTCTAAGGCCTAGGGAAGGAAACTCTAAATCTTATGATCCTATATAGGTAGGAAAAGTAGAGGTGAGACTTATGTCTACCGAATGAAGAGGAAGCCACTAGAGCAGAAAGAGGAAGACAGGTACGGCTACAAAGCCGAGACATTCTCACAAAGGACTTACTCCCCATCTTGGTCAGGGAAACCTCTAATACCTTAAGCATGCTAGACATCCACCTAAGAATAAAACTTATGCTTAGTCAGTTGTGTTGAAGAAGCACGGGGACTTCTCCTCGAGACATGTAATACGATGCAGTTATCTACACAAGTCCTAGGTGTGGAGGCCCTATTAGTATGAGTTGGGATAGATTCATGCGATGCAACTCATTTAAAATCCATTCTTCCTGTTTAGTTGATGCAAATTGTGACCTTGCTGGGTTTAAGCAGGTTGATGAAATTGTCCAGCTACTAACTTGTATTGACTTACAATCTCTTAGAATATTCTTATATTCGTCACATGTCTAAGATCCTCTTTCTCTTTTTTGTTGATCCGTAACACTTTATTGATACATTAAATGTAAATCCCTCCAAAATAAAATAATAAATAACTCAATTTCTTGCAACTTGGTAGCTAAATTATCATAATAATACAGGGCCACAATGAAAAATTAGTGCGCAATGTTTATAAAGGGAGAATATTTTCTCCCCCTTATTTGAACTCTATATTAACAAAGTGAGGGTATCTGCCCCCTTGGGATTCTTAATTTTGTTTCCAACTAAAGTTGAGACAAGTTAGAGCACAGAATTTGGGAAGATTTAATAAGGGAAAGTATGACTTTTGGATAGCAATGGCTAGGCTGTCATTATAACTAGTGGCTATAATCCTTTGGAATTGGTCACTTGGCTCTTAGCAGAGACTCCTTTCTCTGAACTTTCTCCTAAATCTTTATCTAATTCATCTTTCTTGGCTGCTTCATTAATCTTCTCATCATTTAATATGAACATTAATTAATCTAATTTTAATCAAATCATGCACTGTTTTTAAATTCTTAAAGACCTCATCAAGCATTATTTTGCTTCAACCAACCATTTTTTTAAATCGAACTAATTTTGTTTAAAAATAAACAAATTCGGCGGTTCAAAATCATCAATTTTATTTTATTTTATTTTTACTATATATTTGATATTATTATGATTTAATTTGACAGAAAACTAAAATAATTTTAGTGGTTGAATCATTTTATATGAATTTTGGCTCTGCTATTAATATATTTTTGATGGATGAGATGGTGGTTTGATGATTGGATATATTCTTCCGATAGTTTATGTTCTCAAGATTAGCTTTATCATAACTTTAAAAAAATATATTTAAAATTATAATAATGGCCTAGAAAAAAAAAGAAAAATGAAATAAAATGCAGGCCAAATAAATTGAAAGAAATATAATATTGGGGTATTTTTATGTACATACCGCCAAATTCCGATTTATTTACATGTCTAACAAATTTTGATTTTTACCCCGGATAACCCAAATCTTTCTTATCACATAAAAAATGCCACTATTTTAACTTAAGAAAATAATAATAAAATACACATTTTCAAACATAGATAAAATGGACTTAATGTAAAAAATCAAAGTTTTGATGTTAGATATGCAATTTCATAAAAAAAGAATGGTCTGTAGGCAAATCTTCCAAAATTCAATCGGTTTTGCATTTTCCTTTAAGCTTGGCATTTTAAACTTCAGAAAAAAAAAAAAAAAAATCAAAAAAAAAAAAAAAAAAAAATGCTTCCACAAACCAAAGGAAAAAATTTACGCAGCGCTGCGTACGATTTCGAGGTTATACCGAGGGTATAAAGGGGTTATATCCGCGGTATAACCCCTTGTCACCTCCATATAATCTTCTATAACTTACTTGTAACCTACTAATAAATTCTTAATATTTAATAATAGAAGCGCAGAACTTATTTGTAGGTTACAAGTAGGTTACACTATGTTACATGAAGGTTACAAAGGGGTTATAACACGGGTATAACCCCCTTATACCATTTGTATAACATCAAAATCGTACGCAGCGCTGCATACGTCTATCGTACGCAAATTTTTTCCCAAACCCAAAAGCTTAATCCTATCTTGTGATCTCGAAAATTGAAGAATACATTTTTCAATATTTCCGAAAAATGGATTAAAATTGCTAAAATTGCCTTCACGGCTTCTTCCGACTATGATTAATTCAAAAATTACAGAAATCCCTTTAATTTGTTTCATTTCGATATTTCTGGTTTAAAACTGCAAAAAGTTGGCCTAAATTGTCAAAAGTATCAGAACTGCCGACAATGTAAATTTTTGAACTGCAGAAATTCGTCATGGAAGCTTGAAACTTTGTTAATAAAATTTATCATTTGTCACGAATATCTCTGGATGATTAACGGTTTTCTCAAAATATTTTTTTTACAAAGAAACATTCAAATTCCATCAATGACTTCGATTCAACAAAGTCATAGTTAAACCAACCATCTCTAAGAACAAAATGACACAAAAATTTGTCAAATCAAATCTATATCAAGCCATTAAACTACTTTTGAAAGTTTTGGGTGGCTAATTAGAAGTTCATATGAATTCTAAATCTAACGAGCTTATAGTCAAAACGAGTGTCTTGATAAGATGAATCTAACGAGTCCAATATCACTTAATTTTGACATCGTTAAGACACTTAAATATCCGTAAAACTCAGTTCAATCAATGAAATCTCTTTACACCGTCTCATGGAGTAATATAGATTTCTGCTTTATTTTGTAGGGAGGTCACTCCCTCACTCTAGAAGTTGAGTGCTCCCTCTTTTATGAAAGAGAATGTAGACCTTGGACCGGAAGAATAGTTGGACCTGGAGCTCTTCGCGAAAAATGATGAGAATTCATTGTCGTTCCGGACTAAAGACTTGGTGAACACTTCTAACTCTTGTAGTCATTCAACAATGTCAACCACAGCTCGCTGGCCAACGTTGATCGTCGTCAATATTCCTTACTCGTTACAATGAAACCCCTTGCGTAATCATGACAAGTTGCAAAATCCCGATGCACGTTGCTGGGTAATGAAACACCTAAGAATTTAACAAATTGTTCCGAAAGTTGTGCGGTCACACACCTCAAAGAAGATGTACAAAAGTTCTAGTAGCTACTCTCAACTGCAATTGATGAACTGTGCAGCTCTTTTTCTCTAATGGGACAAGGACATATATGTGTAATCGCCAACTTAGAATGGATCATTTAAGCTAAGTTACATCTCGTGTTTTTCTTTTTCTTTCGGATTTTTCACATAAAAATTTATGGTATTTCTACCAATATATTCTATCATCTGAGCCTATGTTGAACTTTCGTGCAACACTAAGATGTTAAATAATAATTCTATCATAGCAAATCTTTCGTCACTCATGAAAACTTAGTAGAGAACCTATCCTCAACAAAATAAATATGAAAATTTCTTACATTTTAAAGTATTTAAAACATAAAAATGATTTTTAAGCTAAAGAATGCAATAGATATTATTTTAACTTTGAGTTATACTTTCACTTCTTCACAAAATATAATTAAAAATGCTTTAAATCATAAATGAAAGGTGGTTTATATACATACCACCCAATTCTTTCATATTTATATATCGAATATTTAAATTTTAATATTTAACTATATAATATAATATTAGTCATATTGTAATATGATTTAAAGATTTGGGCATTATATAAGTAAATGTTAAATTTTAGTTAATAGATGTGTAAATACATGAAGTATTATGTATGTATGTTAATTAATTTCTTTAACTAATTTAATATTTTTAAAAATGATCAGCAAATGATTAATTTAGTCGCAGTTGTTCTTAATCACATCCTTTATGAAAGAGAATTATGATTTAAGTAAAGTTTTATTCGCAAAGGATTAGAAATGTTTTGTTTCTAATGTGGGTTACGGAATAAGTTCAAGATAATTAGAGATGCATTTGGGGGCAGCTTGTGCGTTGCAAGATAAATTTATTATCCTGAAAAGCGGCCCGCGGAGTTCGATCAGCGGCCTGCGTTTAGTATAAAAACTCAAACGCGATTTCAGATAAGTTGGCAAAACGCACGAATCAAACGGTACGACAATGTTTTCCCACACTTATAAGCTGCCCCAAAAGGACCCTAAGATTTACAGCCCGTTTAATGCAGCTTATAAGTGTGGGCGACATTTTCAAAACGTCGTTGTAACGTTCGATTCACGCGTTTCGTCAGCTTATCGGAAACTGAATTTCGATTTTTACACTAAATGCAGGCCACGAGTCGAACCTCGTGACTTGTTCGAGGGCCGCGTTTTAGAATAAGTAGCAAACTGCCCCATACGCACACTAATCCAAAGTTTTGACAAGGGCTCATAAAATATTTATAAGTTAAATTAGCTATCGCCTCTTACAATATAATTTCAAATATTTATAAAAATAAAAAATAAGACAAAACTCTATTTCACATTACACCCAAAAATTGAACGCCAAAAAATATCGAAATATCATTTTTTTGCGGAACATTTACATATAGACCACTCAATTCCCATGCAATTACACAACAATAATTACATATGTAAATTGAGTGTTAAAATTGAAATTTATTTATTGCATATGTAAATAAATAGGAATTGAGTGGCATGTATGTAAATCTTCCTTTTTTTTTTCGGAAAAGAATCCTTATGGAGTAAGTAATTCGTAGAAATAAATCAGTCAAAATAGGCCGCCGGCCACCGCCGCCGCTGCTTTCTCGGCGGCGCGCTCCAGCGACTTGAGATTACACCTCACAATAGTATCGACGAACCCCCTCGTCTCCTCCCTCGTGTTTCCGGCCGGAACGTCTACCACGTACGACTCCATCACCACCGTCCGATCCTTCCCATTTTCATCGATATGTACGGACGTCACCGACCTATAGTTACTGAGCCGGTGCTCCCCTCCCACGATCCGAAACCCGGTGACGTGCCGGTCGTCGTCGAGAATCTCGAGCCGCTCCGTACTGGTAGAAGCCGGCAGACCGGAGACGACGCTGATGCGGCGCACGGTACCGACTTGACCGTCGCCGGAGATGACGTGGCAGCTGCGGACGAATGTCTTGTAGTCCTGCGGCGCATCGAAGCGCCGGAGGAGTGACCAGACGGCGTCGAGTGGGGCCGACATGGAGTGGACCACAACGGAGGTGCACTGGTTGGGGGCCACCTTGTGTGAGTGGAGAAGAGCTGCCGCGGCCAGGAGTTTGTCGGCGGTGAGGTGGTGGTGGTGGTGGCGGAGGTGGGGGTCAGCAGGGGAGTATGGCATGTTGGCGAGGGAGATGAAGTGCTGCGTGAGAAGGGTGGGGGTGGGGGGTTAAATGGGGAATGGAAATTGTTTTTTAAATTGCAAATTGCATGACTAAATAAAGAGGAAAAGATTTAGTAAAAGTTAATTTGAGGGTGATATAGGTCTGGGTGGCATAAAATAAATATTTGCAAAAAAATTAAAAAAAAAATCTAAGATATTATTTAGATAGCTATGTTTATTGTATTGATTATGAAATGTAAATTTAAAAAAAAGAATTAAAGATTTTGAAAGGTTTTTAAAATAATAGTGTGAAATATTAAGATTAATGTTGTTTAAACATATTCCACGTGATGCAAAAGTTTGGGTGATATAGCTTTGGGCTGTCAAAATGGCTCGTTGTTTGTGAACAGCTCGTGTTCGGCTCGTTCGCTAAGTTAATGAGCCGAACACGAACAACACAAACAAATATTTGTTCGTTCGCGTTCGGCTTGTTTTGGCTTGAAATACTACTCATCAAAGATATATATATATATATATATA